TTGCACTTGCGGGTACGTTATTGGATGAATTCTTGTACCCATCGGGTATGCGGGTACGGGTGTGGGTGTATACTACCCATACCCGCATACCCGCGGGTAAAAAAACCCACATAAATAATATTCAACCTCTACAATTTTAGCCCATATAAGCATATAGCCCATATTTGGCCCATATAAGCATATGAGCATATATATTCCAGAACTCCCTCAAACCCTAATCCCCATATAAGCATATTTGGAATGAACCAATGAGGCATCTGATCTATTTCAACTAGCTTGACCTGGATATATTTCTATTTTGCTGCTCTATTGTTGATTTGTTTTGCTAGAAGCTATTATATTTTGGTGTGTGAACTCGGGTATATTGTTGGGTGCGGTTACCCGTCGGGTAAGAATTACCCATCGGGTGCGGGTATGGAATGAATTTTCTACCCGCCTGCGGGTACGGTTAACCCGACGGGTAAGATTTTGATCTGGCGGGTGCGGGTACGGGTGGCTAGTACCCATCGGGTACGTACCCGTTGCCATTTTGAGGTGGCACCACCATGTCCGGTGTTCACTGCAGTGGGCACCGCCCCATTTTTTTAGAGGCTAGTGAAGCCGGCTGGTCACCGTCTTGGTCACGACCATAGGGAGGGCGGTGCACCGCCGATTTTTTACAGAGAGGAGGGAAACCAAGGGGTTGGCCTAGGTGGTCACTACCACCCATAGGGCGATGCCACCGCTACCCCTATCCGGTGATCAACGGCTAGTTTTTAGCCATTGGAATTTGACCGTTGGGAGGGGCACCGCCGTGTCTGGTGCCCTTGCACAAAAGGGAATCTTTGGAGCAACGGCTCTATTTGCTTGGGGGCTATAAAACCAAGCACTAGCTTCCCTTGGGCTAGTTGCTGAGCACCCTTAAGCCTTGGTGGCTTGTGTAGGTGTCCTTAGGATCCCTCTAACTCACATACGCTTGATAGTGATCATCCGATTAAATGTGAGCGTGATTCTAGTGCGATTGCATCGTGAGGTTGCATTGAGTGGCACTAGGTGATTGAATTGCAAACCGGTGGTGCTTGTTATTCTTGGAGGTTGCCACATCCTAGACGGCTTGGTGGTGGTCTCCGTCGAAGCACGCAAAGAAGATTGTGCGATGCTCCAGAGAAGTGATTGTGAGGGGTGTTGTGCTCGCCCCACAGGAGCCATGAAGAGCAACTCTAGTTGAGCATGTCATTGAGCTACCCTCACTTGGTCCATGTGGTTCTTGCGGTGCCCAACGTGTGGGCTTGGTGTTGTGCCAATTAGCCGCTGAGCCACCAATTGAATGGTCGACACAACAAGGACTAGCATGTTAGCAAGTGCGTGAACCTCGGGATAAAATCATCGTGTCATCCTTGTCTTCCTGTTGGTTTGCATCCTTGTTACACAACCTTGTATTTACTTCATTTACATTATGCTTGTGTAGTTGCTCTTATAATTAGTTAGCTTGTGTAGTTTGCTAATTACCTTCTTGCTTGTGTAGCATAGAAGTAGCTCCCTTACATGACTAATTCAGTTTGAGTAACCTTGTTAGTCACATTGCTTAGTTTGTGTAGCTAAGTAATTTACGCTCTCTAATTTGGCATTAGTTGCCTTGTTATTGAGCATTGCTAGTGAGCTTAGGCTTTGTGCGCTTTGCATTACTAGTCGTGTAGGATCTCTCCGGTTGCTTGAAGTACTAGTTGCATAGGTTTATGTGACCTTGCAAGCTAAAATTGTTAGGTGAGCTGTAGCTAGCCCGGCACATTTGTTGCCTATTTAGGATCTTTGTAAGGTGCTTGAAACTTAGATAGAGGGGTGTAGTCTTGCATAGACCGATAGTTTTAATTACTCATTTGTTTCGGTTAGCTGCGCATTTAATTTTAGAAAGGACTATTCACCCCCTCTAATCCGCCATCTCGACCCTACATAGTGTCGGTTGTAGTGAGAAAGCACCAATGTGCTGCTTGCTGGGATGATCCGTGTGCTACTCCACGTCAGTGATCCGGAAGCAGGGCTAGTGGCCACTCGTGGCTCGTCACGCGTGCAGCGGTTTCACAAAACTAGAGACGACGCTGGTAGTTTTCCCATTCCACCCATGGTAAATAACTCTCGTCCGTCCCTCCGAGCGGTGCAGTCTTCCAGGAGCGCAGTGGAAATAACTCTTTCTCGTCCGTCCCTCTCTCTCGTCCGTCCCTCTCACTCTCTCGTCTCTCACTTCGGTCCCTCTCTCGTCAGTCCCTCCGGTCCATCCCTCCACGTACGCCTCCCTCTCTAGCGTGGTGGCAGCGAAGGTGCCTGCCGGGGAGGAGGAGGCGCACGGGCCAGCCCCCTCCATCGGCAGCGGCCACCACACGTAGCAGCGGCGCGCGTGGAGGCCCGCACCAGTGACGGCGGCCCTCCCTCTCCTCTGAGCACGGCGTCCCTTCCCTGTCCCTCGTGCGTCGGCCACCAGATCTGGCCTCTAACGGTCCACCGGCGGCGGATCCGACCACCGGAGGCGGCAGGGGCGCAAATCAAGTCACCAGCAGCGGTGGGGGCACAGATCCGACCACCACCGAGCGGATCCAGACACCGGCGGCTGCGGCGGTGTGGATCCTACCATGGGCAACGGCGGCGCGTGGTATCGAGTCGGTGGGCTTTTTTATTTTGTGAAATTATTAACCGAGACAGGCTACTTAATTGAACCGCCTCTGTTAATAGCGTTAACCGAGGCGGTTGTCTTATGCCGACCACCCGCCTCGGTTAAGGCTTTTTGCCCGCCTTGGTTATGATTCTTGTAGTAGTGTGTGCAACACGGCTTTGTGCATGCAATGTACTCTTTTCTCCTACCATTTTTCAATTGGTTTTTTCTGAGGGGGGAAGGGGGGGGGTTAACGAGGCATACACGCACCATAAATTTGACAAGGGGAAGTGTTATGAAATCAACGTAAAAAATTATTGTGATACTACTCACTCCGTCCCTAAATAAATTAATTCCTAAAATTCGTGCTAGTCAAACTTTATACCTAATGATATTAATTTGATACCATAAATATTGATGTTTTTTCTAGAAGTTCGGTCAAAGTTTAAAAAGTTTGATTTAAAACAACTCTAGAAATCTATTTATTTAAGGGAAAAGAAGACCGTACAAGTTAAATACGGAGTAGTAAAATTCAAGTAGCCATGTTCTACTTCTTCCCTTTATAAAAGAGGATGTATGAAGAATTGAAAGAGACACATCTGCATACAAGTTTGTGTAATGAAATTATCCAGAAATAAAAGAGTTGTGTTCTATATATCTCCGAATCTTTATGTGCTTGTGTACCAATATACAACTCGATTCCTTCCTGACAAAAAAAAAACTGTCTCGCAAGAAAAACGCGGAACGATTAAAGCCCGAACATATAGAAGAATCTGGTTCAATACTCGGAAGCCTACGCACACGCATGGTGGGAATCCAACTCGGCTCGGACCAGTCGGCCACTAACGGCCCCCTTTCACAGTTTCATATAGTGACCCAGATGGCCTTATCGTGGGCTGTTGTGATCGGAAAGTGGTGGCCTAGATAACTTGTTGGGCCGTTCTGTACATTGGTGGGCTCCGGCTTATCAAATCTCAGGGGGGTTACACATGAACTGTTGCTCAAAAAAAAAGTTACACATGGACTTTGCCCGTATTATGAAACAATGGTCCCAGTCGAAACGACACTGCCGCATCTTTTATCATCAACAACTGATTTCCCCCACTTCTTTTTGACTTGTTACAGTGGAGAACCACTTTCTGACTGCGCCTATCTTTACCAAAAGCAAGAGCACCATGGCATGCATGTTCCATTTGGATTTGTGTCCATTCACTTGCCAGTCTGTGCTCTTTATGCATGTGACATTGTAGCAATCCACGAGAGTTTATCAGCTGGCTTATCAGCTAAAATCTACAGTATTTTTCTGTTATAAAAAATCAGCTTCAGCCGGCTTATCAGCCGGTTTTAATACCAGCCGAACAAGCCCTATGTGTGCAAAGACATATGTAGATAAATAAAGATTATGACTGAATCTCTATTTTTGTCAAGTAGGAAGCCTCTTTTTCCTTTTTTTTCAGCGCTAAGCATGTCAAAGTCTAGCTCGAATTAATCCGATAAGTTGGAAGTTGCTTGTGTGTTTCTGAATTTCTATCCAGATGATTCATAAAGTGGCAAAGTGCTTCCCTTACCAGCCAAATGATATTTGGTCAGAAGATCTTTGTTATGTTTGACCTGTGAATTATATTGCCATATATATGTTTGGTGTGTTCTCTTTGATGCAAACGAAATGCCCACGAAGATAAGTTTGCAAGAGAGCTTTTTTCTGGATGACATAAGGATCCACAAAAGCATGCATAGAGAAAGGAGGAAAAGAGAGGCTATGGATGATGCAGTTTATCCCGGAATGTGGAAGCAAATCCTAGTGTGGCATTTGGTTATCCTAATCCTGCGTGTGATTGTGATCCAATCCAAGGTCCCATAAAAGCAGAGATACATGGAAAAGCAAAGCGAAAGCACGACGTCAAAGCCATCCTTGTCTCCATCCTCACCACCTCAGCCCTTTTGCTTTCCATGCAATGCAGTGCAATGCACGGGCGGTCTGTCAGAAACGCAACTCAATATATGTACCATGCCATGGCCCGTCACGATCACTCGGCCCATCTATTCTATCTAAACATTGTCACTGTTGCCACATGCGTCCGATTACAGGATGGAGGTTTCTTATTTATTTATTTATTATTATTATACTCTACTATGTATGTATGTGTGCCTTTACAATAACATCATTTGTGATCTCTCTTTTTACAGTACTACTAGATGAGGCTAAGTGCCATGCATATTCTCATGTCTATGCAATGCAACTTTATCTTTGCTTCTCTTCTCCCACTACTACATACCTTGGACAAAAGAAGATATAAAAAAAGAAAGTAGAAAAAAAAGGAAAGAGGAACTAGAAGATTATTACACAAGACTGTTGTCCAGCAGCAGCAGGTCCCTGTCAATGTGCAGGGTAGAAAAGAGGGGTAGGGTCCCTCTGCATCTTGCCCTCCAGATCGATCCGGACCCTGTTCATCTTCTCCTCGCACCAGTGCAGCTGCTGGTCGGTGACCTCCGGCATGCGCAACACCCGCGCCACCACCTCGAGGTCGATCAGGCCCAGCAGGATGGACAGCTCCTCCTCCTCCCTCAGCCTCGTCCTCTTCAGGCACCGCCGCGGCCGCGTCAGGTCCTTGAGCCGGCTCTTCTTCTGAACAATCGCCGGCCACCACATTCATACGGCACGGACAGTTCGATCAGAATTTGCGTGGTACTGGTAAAGTAAAAAAAAAAAACTGATTGGATGTAGTATTTAACACAACACGTGATGAACTCACTTTCTTGTTGGCTTTCTTGAGTGTGATGACGACCAGAGTCTGATCCATGGCGCTCGCCCTCCTCTTCACCATCTCTCTGAACATCTCGTAGTGGCTCCTCTTGTCGGCCCGGAGGAACGTCATGAACGTCCTGATGGACTCCTCCAGTATCAGCAGGAACTGCACTGCCGATATCAGATCATCCTTCTCGTCATCCTCGTCTGCATGCACGCACACCGATCAGTGAGTACGCCAGCAGAATATATAGCAGACAGATGGCTGCAGATGATGAGCGAGCACGAGCAGAGCAGTCCAAACCAACCTCTGAACTCCGGGACGAGGAGCAGCTTGGGCGTGGAGTTCTTCATCCGCGCGTACACCTCGGGCCGGCGGCCGCACTCGTACGGCTCGTTCTCGATGAAGCGGTGCAGCAGCACCTGGAACTGCTGGAACTCCTGCGCCACGCGCGCCGGGCAGCACCGCGCCGCGATGTTGCCGTCGCTGCCGTTGTGCCGCCGGAAGCTGGTGTAGTTCCAGTTGAGGGCCTCCCACGTGAGGCACACCTGCGCCACGTACGCGCGCTCCAGCTCCGGGTACGGGTCCCGCAGCCCGATGGGCTTAGGGGCGCTCGGTTTGGGCGTCAGCTTGTGCACGATCCGCTCCGACATGGACCGTGGCTGGTACTTGATGGACCGGAACGACTCTGCAGGGAACATATATGCGTCAAAAATGCAATAGATTAATTAGAGTATAAACACGATTCTTTTGGCAGTAGCAAGTACAGTAGGTTAGTAGGATTTGATTATGTGCGTGCATCAAGAAATGTGTAAAAAAATGTTCTTGATCAAGCCTACATGTCGACGAAAGCGTCGCAGATTACAGGAATCGCGCGTCATTTAAGCTTTTTGTCAAGAAAACTAGTCTTAGGTAATGAGTGGTAATGATACCTTGACATTTTTTAGAACGTACTGCTTTATATATGAGCAAATGAAATCTGTTTTGCTAACTTTTATTTCTACTAGATAGAAAAAAAAAGAAACAGTTTGTTCTTGTTTGCCTACCGTACCTGTTTCGGTGAGTTTCTGGGCGCCGACGCGGTGGAAGTAGACCATGTCCTCGTCGTACTTGCGGAAGAGCGTGTACGACTCCCACCGCGCCGAGCTCCGGCGCGACGACGACGAGAAGGGGTACTCCGTCTCCGAGTCCTTGGTCACCGTCGAGCTCTGCTGCCACTCCACCGAGCTCTTGGACGTCGACTCGCTCGTCAGCGTCGACGCGCCGAACCGGCTGCTGTCCCCGTTCTTGTCCTTGTCGTCGTTCTCATCCTGCAGATGCGCCGCCTTCGCTCCTCCTCCTCCTCCTCCTCCTCCTCCAGCCACCACGCCGCCCTCCAGCAGGAGCTTCCTGGTGTCGGCGAGCGCGCGGTTGTTGACGAACAGCTTGACGTCATGCTGGCCTTCATCAGAAAAGCTCTTCTTCCCCTGCGGCGGTCCCTCCTTTTCGTGCTCGGCACGGTCGGCGTCGGCATCGCGACGAGCGCCTTCTCCTGTTCTGTTGCTTTCCTCCTGCTTGTTCCCTGAAACCAGATGATGACGATGCCATACAATGCGTCAGATCAAGATGAAACGAAATGAAGATCAGAATAACAAGAAGCAGAGACAGAGTGTATCTAGGACTAGGAGATTGATTGCCTTCGATGGAGACATTCTCCGGTGATACGACGGCCGGAGCAGGAGCACTCCGCTGTTCCGTTTCCAGGACCGTCGTCGTCGGGACATCGACGGCGATGCCCTTGGCCTCCTCCTGCACGTGCTGCGTCGGTTCGGCTTCGACATCCACTCGGAACTTCTGGTTGCGCGGCGAGATGCGGGCAGATTCCTCCACGGGAAAGTTGCTCTCCACCTGCAAGCAACGTGCAGTGGCTGTAGCGGCGTACAGGTGGTGGTGATCCTTTCCTTCGTCGCCAAGCAGCAGGGTGCTGTCCTCGAACACGGCCTCGTCGAACCAGAACAGCATGTCCGCTTGTTGTCCTTCGCCGACATCGGCGTCGGCGGCGGCGTACTCTGCTTCATCGGTGGCCATGGCCTCCGTGCGGTGGTCGCAGCGGCCGTCATACCAACTACTGTATACGCGGCCATACATACAAAACAACGAAAAGTGTGAGCGCGACGACACACGCATGCATGTCAAAGATCTGTGAAGGTAGTGAGTGGTAGTGCAGCCAGTTACCCTGTCCGGTCCTTGGCGGTGGCCCTGTGGTGCAGGCGCGCGAAGAGCTTGGCGAGGAGGAGGAGCAGGAGGTAGCCGACGAGCAGGAGGAGGTTGAGCGACGCGAGGGCGCGGAAGAGGAGAGGCGGCATCACTGCACCGGCTGGTTGCATGCCGCCGGGGGAAGAAGAAGAAGCGTCACCAAGCCGCTGCTGGTGGAAGCCGAAGCCGAAGCCGAAGCCGGAGCCATGAGGAGAAGCCTGCGGGCCAAGCACTTGCTGCAGCACCGCCACACGGGAACACCAGCTGCTGCCGCTCGCATTGCGCATCTACCGAGACTGGCCGAGAGTGTGATTCGATCTTCTAGAGAGAGGCCGGCGCTCTGTCAGAGAGGAAGCTCTCTCTGGTTCTGGGTGGATAAAGAGACGGACACGCAGCCCAACTCGAACTGGCGATGGTGCACACAGACAGACACGGCGGCCAGCCGCGCGCCAACTGCTTTGTTAGAGGGGAAAGTGGCGGTGAGAGATGGATGATGGGCTCGCAGCTCTTTGGCTAGCAAATGGTTTGGGGAGACACACAAAGCTAGCTAGCTTATAGGGTTTGCATAAAGCTGGAGGATGGCGTGGCGCATGCATGGGGCCCAACGTGATATAAAGATGCATGAGAAAATGACGTGAGAAAAGCCGGAAGCAAGCGATCTTGTTAGCACAAAGCGAGATCGGTAAACTATGTTGGTGAGATGAGAGGGTGAGAGGCCAGCAGACAGGCCCTGGATCAAGTGACTTGCATTATGAGGTAAGCCCATATGCGATATGCGTTTCATCAGCTGGGGTTTTGGTATAATGTGGTCATGATCGACATCTGCGCGCGCACTTTGATTATTACCAGCATCTTCTTCTTCTTCTTCTTCTTCTTCTTCTTTCTTTGTTTGATGGATATGTGTGTATATAACCTGGTTGCTGCAGCCTTGAAGTACGGCCGGTGGCCATGATGTCAAGGAGAGCATCCATCCTAGGAACCTGGTGCATGGGTATTTTCGTCATGCTGGTCCCATGCCATGCCAATGACAAGGAAGAACAAATCAACATCAAGGTGATTTGGATCATTATGACAAACGAATCAACACCAAGGTGATTTGGACCATTACGATTTTTGGAGACAACCTCTCTAACTAATGGAGGCGGGCACATCTACAGACTGTCTCTATAAATGGTCACACGACTTCGAGGAAAATGTTGTCCGCCTCTGAAAATCATTCACAGAGGCGGGCGACCGTCTACATTAACTATCAACTTTAACAGAGGCGGCCACCTAATGATACTCGTCCCTATAAATTGATTTTCAGAGGTGAGCATCTTAAGATATCCATCTCTAAATTAAAAACCGCTATTAACAGATGTGGATATTCTAAGCATCTATCTCTAAAAATCAATTAACAGAGGCATTCATATTAAGATGCCTGTTTCTAGAAATAGATGTATCTAAAAATAATTCCTGATTTTTTCATATGAATCTGGATGAAGACAAACTTTATATTAAAATTATATCTCTTGATGTTATCTACAACTTTGTAGTTGAGAAGTTTTTAATTTAAAACTGTTTAGAGTCTAAAAATATTGTTTTAAGTTCATGGATTTTGAAATTTAAAATTTACAAGTTTTTCATTTGAAGTTTTCCGGTGTCTCAAATATATTTTTTAAATCCACATAGTTTGAGATTCAAATATTTCGTATGGAGACACATTAAAGTTATAGTGCTTAACAAGTTTTAAAACTTTATAATTGAAACTTGTTTCATTTGAGTTCATGTAGTAGCCAAAATATCCAGTATAAAATTATGAAATATTTATACAAAAGATAGAATCCTATATATACTCACAATTGAGGGTGGTGTGCAGTGGTAAGGAGTTGTTATTCCTGAGTAGTAGGTTAATCGATTTTCAGAGGTGTGCATGTCGACTACCTCTATAAAAGGTGATTAATAGTGACCGTTGGTTATAGTTTGATGGCTTACCCTTCTCTAAAAATAAAAAATGCTTGGCTCTAAAAATCTTTTCTGTGCTAGTGAACATTAAATAACACACCCAACAAGTTTAAAGATCTAATTGGTATTTAAAGAGTATTGGAACCAAGATAGTTGAGGAGTACAAGAATCGCTTTAGAGGCTAGAGGACCACATGATAGAAATAGAAATGGATAATTTAAAAGCATAGATGGTGGTATTGTATGCTATTTTTTCGACAATGCAGGGACGACTAATTTAGATGATGATTTAGTGGTTGCTTTAGGTTATTTTTCATAATGGCAAATATTGTTAGTTTAGACATAGATTGAGGGGTCGCTTTAAGTTATTTTCACAACTGTAGAGATAGCTAATTTATTATATTAAAGGACACTTTAAATTATTTTTCATAATAGAAGATCGTATAGTTTAGAATTGTTGATAACAAAAATCAGTAACATTGGGCAATCTATGAAAACCAAGTCATTTGGATCCACGAAACAAAATCATTTGATTTCTAAGAGCATCTTCAATTACGAAATCGACTACACCATTATGAACCCCTCATTGACACAATACTATTCATATGTGGAATGCCTAATTTGAAGTCTAGATGAGAGACTTACAATGTTTGGAAGAATGGACCTCGTAAATACTGGAGGCTGTGATTTCCTAAAATTAACCAGATGGTCTCATTTTGACTTGACAAATTGTTTTTTCCCATTGGTTTAAAGTGTAAATCTTGATGTTTTTGGACTCTACCATGAGAATATACCTCTCAACTTATAAATATAAGGGGGCCCACAGTTGATTGAAGCATCATATTGATTACCGAATACAACTTTTATGCTTTTCGCCTTTTTACATTTTTCTTTTACTCATTTTTACCCTAAAACTCATCAAACCTAAGATTGCTGTTATTCCGTTGTCTTCGTGTCATTTGAAGACGGCCTAGCCGGACTAGCTATTCCCTTGTATTGCCTAGCCAGTCTAGCGCTGCTAGGGCAACCTAAGGTCTGCATGTCCCGATAGGGTTCCTCTCATACACTATTGTTCGTTAGTGTCTCCTGACGAGACCAGACCATCTAGTTTTTGGAACTGGACCATCCACAGATTCCGTTAATGTTTGGCATTGAAATACTTTTTTTTTGAATCATACATGGACAATTTATTAGGTATTTTTCTTCACAAACCAATATCAAATTACCAAACTACCATAATGTTTAACGAAGTTACCGCATACGTCTCACTGTTGATAAGCACATCGCTTACATTATTTTGCATGGCATATCTTAAAAAAGAGCATTTTCTCATATGGGTTAGGATGAAAATAAAATTTATAAGTAATCTATAGAGCTCGACAATATCTACAACTCTGTAATTCACAACTTTTCTTTAAGGCACCCTTGTGCCAAAATGTTCAATCATACCAACAAAGATTTAAAGATTATATTGACTATTTCGATGCTAAGATGACTTTGAATAAAAAAGTGGAGTAGGATTAAGTTGTCAATCTTGTTGAGACTTATAGTTTCTATATAAATTTATCTCCGTCCAATCCCACGCACAACCTCAAAAGATCATAAAATTTTCATGACATCGGATGGGGATAAAAATGTATATATTAATATTAGAGCTTGATGAAATATGTAACGTTCATCACTTTGTGTAAATGCATTTTGGTTCTAAAATAATCAATACAATATAATGTTTAGATCGACAAATTCTGATCTGAACATTTTCTCAATGATAATGATATATGACGGTCGTCCGGACGGGATCAGACGCACCCAAAGCCGCGCCGAACCAACCCGCCCCTGTCGCACGCCATCTCCCGGACATACGCGGTCTCCTGCACTCATCTTTATCCTCTCCTTGCTCACTCCCGCAGATGTTCCTCTCCATTCTTGTCAGTGTAGAAAGTGACCAACACGTAAATATTTGTAGTTTTGCCGTATGTTGTGATCGGATGTGGCCTAGCACTCAATGACACGGGTTTATACTAGTTCAGGCAACGTGCCCTACGTCCAGTTTGAGTCGGTCGGTGACTTTATTCCTGAGCCTAGATGCTCGAAGTTTGCTGTGGGGTTACAAACGGAAGGGAGAAATATGGGGGTGCAAGAGGTCCAGTCGAACTCTGGTCTGAAGGGCCGAGAGTGACAGGAGCTTCGCTGTGCGCTAAGTGTTTGAACGTCTGTTGTTCATTGGGATCCTTAGTCGTTCGGATCATGTGTGTGTGTTGTTTGAGTTGTCCACTGATTCTCCCTGTTGGGAGAGAGCACATCCCCTTTTATAGATGAAGGAGACATCCTTTTACAAGTAAGAGAGAGAGTATGTATGCTACAAAGTCTTGTTGCCCACGCTGTCGGGTACAAGATGATGGTAGGCGGCCATAACACTGTTGATGTCAGACACATGTGGGAGGTTTTTACCGTGTTCTCCATGTAGGGCAAATGATGGCGCCTACAACACTGTTGATGCCCAGAGGCATGTGGGGCAGCCTTACCGTGTTTGTCGTGGTATGGGAGTTGAGGGCGCCTACAACACTGTAGAACAAATGTCGGCGCCCACAACACTGCTTGGGTTCTGACATGTCTGGAAGGTTGCAGGGCACCCTTCTAATATGTCTTGTCGGTACTGCAGGTGTACAGGTTTGGCCCTCGATATTATGGTTGACTTGAGTGTCCTGCTTTACTTGTTCCGCTCGTTTTCCTGGTCCTCACCGAGCAAGCGTCCCCGGTCGGTTGGTCTCAGTCGGCTCCGACTGCGCCAGTCGGAGAAGAGCTATAAACAGAGGTTTGGTGTATCCGTGGTTGGAGACGTGGGTCGGAGTTGGAATGATTTGTTGGCCAAGCCTTCTGGTCGGAGAGGCGGGCCGGAGTTGGAAGCGAGGCCTTCCGGTCGGAGAGGCGGGTCAGAGTCGAAAGCGAACGTTGTTCTTCCTCGGCCAAGCCTTTCGGTCGGAGAGGCGAGCTAGAGTCAGAAGCGAGCGTTGTTCCTCCTCGGCCAGGCCTTCCGGTTGGAGAGGTGGGCCGAAGTTGGAAGCAAGGCCTTTTGGTCGGAGAGGCGGGCCAGAGTCAAAAGCGGGCGCCGTTCCTCTTTGGCCAGTCCTCTCGTCGGAGATTGGATTGCCCTTCTGGCCTATCGTTAGGTTTTTGGGCCGGCCCAGGAGTTGCGCGTTGTTCACAACATCGTCTGCTTGGGCCGAGCTTTTGCTGGGAAGCAGGTCCATGAGGGACCCCGAGTTTATGAACCCGACAGGAGCCCCTGAGCCCCCGGGTGATTCGGGTAGAATCGTCTGGAGGATTTTTATCATGACAGCGGG